ATTACATTACACGTGTGTACATCATTCAAAAAGTTATTATCGTATACGTTTTATTTGTATCATTATTTATGATAAATATGATACAGAAAACGTGTGTGTATCTGTGTTTCTTGAAAAAGTTACACGTTTCAAATTACATTATAACGCAAGCCATAAAGTTTTTATTGTTAATATGTGCCCATAATTATATTATGAAGGTTGTCTAACAATATAAATTATATATTTAAATAACCAACACCTATCTAAGGATTTTATATTAAATTAATTGCATTATAAATAAAATATAATAAAATTATATAATAAATTAGGGGTGCCCCGCTACACGTTGCTGTAGCTCACAATCAGTCCGACTTTTTGTTAATAAACAAATAATTCGATTATAAATTGAGATATAAACTATCTTATCTTTGAAGTTAGATAAAATTGCATACAGTGTGTAAAATTTGATTAAAATCGGTTCAGTAGTTTAAGAGTCCATTGCGAACAAACAACGTGACACGTCATTTATATACATTAAGAGATATAATTTGTATTATATTTATATTTATATAATTAAATGATATAATAATAAAATAATGTGTGATATAAAATAGCTAATAAACTCATTTTATTTTTACATTTTGATTTGCAATTAGACAATTTTCATAATTATGAGCCGATAATACTTGTTTTATTTTTATTAATAATAATTATTATTATTATTATTACATATCAAAGTTTAAACGATACATTTTTATATTTTATCTGATATTATTTGTGTTCTTCTTTCAATAATTCTGACACTGATTTATCTTATTTTCGTTTGATAAGTTGAAAGTCTGGTAAAAGCATGAAAAAAAAGAGAAAAAAAATAAAAGAAAAGAAAAGAAAGAAGAAGAAGAAGAAAAAGGGAAAGAAAAAGAGACATATGGACGTTCTTATCGACAGGTACTGATAAAGACAACCGTGTAACAACCATAGTTTCGAAACATTGACAAGCCGAGACTAAAAGGATGTTATTGGAGAGAAAGACTATAAACTAAACTAGACACATATTTATTACAACGTTGGTAAAAGTATACCCGATAGTTAACGTCGATCAATGAAAAAATAGAAAAATATTAAAAAAAAAGAAAAAAATAACAGATCGTTTGCAAAATTATATAAGAATAACCGATAATTATCTACAACACAAATAACCTGGCCAATTAAAACGAAAGGTTTATTATAACTTCGAAAGAAAAAAAAATACAAGAAAAATTGGATATTCTCATAGCAATTAAAACTATAAGTTAATAAATTGAAAAATTATTAATAATAATTGTATTTTTTTGTAATTGACGTTATTATTGGATAATAAAAAATTTCATTAATTATTTATATAAATATAAAGTTTTGAACAATGGATAAAAACATATTTCAAACGTTATTGATAATATTTCTTATTTATAAATGATATTGAATTTTTATTATTTATATTTATATTTAATTTAGATTTAATTTAGAAATAAATTATTTCATTTTTATATTTATATTTAATTTAGATTTAATTTAGAAGTATATGTTATGTAATTTTTAATTTATTTTTTATATTTCTATTTTTATATTTAATATTTAAAACCTCGTTTGTGTGTTTGATATTTTATAATATATATATATATGTGTTTATTATAAATTTTGTTTATTAAAAACATATAATAATATAATAAGTAATTAACTTTTGAATTAATTGGATGTATCCCAAATTGTTACAAAATCAAACCCAACTTAAATATAAAAAAAAAAAGACAAAGAATTAATTAATCAATAAAATCAAAAACAAAACAACAAGGAGATGAACCAAAAAGTTTCTGTAATTTTCAAAAAAAAACAATCACCACTATACAGTTTCAAATAAAAATTTCAATAAAATCAAAACACACGAACTTCTGATACAACTTAAAAAAAAAAAAGAAAAAGAAGAAATGTAGTTTAGTAAAAAAAAAAAAAAAATGTCAATATTAAGGTGCGAATAAGTCGCGGTTTGTTTCGTTGGCATGGACGGTTGACCCGAGATAAGAGGCTGTCACTCACCGGGTGTGCGCTTAAACGAGATTAGGACAAGGGCAAGCGGAGGGTTAAGTAGTTTCCATTGTAAGGATGCTTCGTGCAATGTGACGACGTTATATATTTCTTTTTTTTACTTTCTTTTTTTCTTCTTCTTCTACTTCTTTTACTTTTCTTTCTCTCTGAGGTGAGTGAGTGAGTGAGTGAGTGAGTGAATATACAAGACGAGAAAGAGAAAGAGAAAGAGATAGAAGAATATACAGGTAACACTGTTACTATAGTTAGAATGTAATACTAAACTTAGTATTATACATATATATGTGTATATATATGTATATGTTATATGAACTTATGTAAGGGAATAAAAATGCACCTTGTTTGTGGTTTCTTAACTTTAAGACGCAAATTGTTTTTTTTTTTTTTTTATTATTATTATTATTATATTATTAACACAATTGTTATTAATATAATAAATATTCTATTAATTTTATTATAATTTAATTTATTAATTAAATTATTTGTTTATGATATTTTATTATATTGGGATCTCTTGCAGGAGGGGCGTGGCTTAGTAGCAATTCGACTTATCTACTGTAATTTTGAATTAAGCCACCAGATAGCGTATTCAAGTGCTACAGATCCCAAAATATTGTTTAATATATTTCAATTTATTAATTAATATTATATTTAATGAATATATATTTTATATAATATTAATATAACTATTAATTGTTATTATATATTATTTTGTTTTGATTATTAATATATCATTTTGTTATTATATATTAGTACAATATTTATATTATTATTTTTTTTTTCATTTATTTTATTATATAATATATTAACTAGTAACTAAACTATTATATAATAACTAATATATAAATTAACAGATTTGTTTGATTTCATTTTTATTTTTGGTTGTGTTCATTCATCCCTACTACCCTCTTTTTATTTTCATTCCCCTGACCCTTTTCTTATTTTCTTTTTTTTTATTTCATTTTTACGTAGTCACACAGTAAACGTTCGTCCAATTAGGGCTCGTAAAAAAGGGAAAAAGGGGTATTTGATCGTGATTGTTAAAGAGGGCAGTTTCCATTTTGGAAGTTTCCACACACAAGAGGAAAGAAACGTCGTGGACGATTTGTCACGATTAACGTTGACCTAATAAACCTAATCGTGATCGACGTTAAATTACGGACAAATTATACTTCCTTGGTAGTAAGGGTATAAGAAGAAGAAGAAAAAAAAAATTAAATTTTAATGAAAGAGGAAAAAGGACAAGAAAAAGGAAAGATGGGTTGAGAGTAAAGAAATGGGAGAGGGATGGTTTGGATATTAATGGCGTTCAATTTGTTCACTCGAATGGAAATTTTTCCATAGATTATGCATATACATACATATATGTCTAGAAATGTGTCGACTTTACATCTTTATTGATAGTTAAAATAAAGATAATAAGATAATCTATAATCTTATTGTAAGAATATGTATTATAAGATTAGAACGCGTAATACTCTTTTATGTTGGTAACTTAAAATACTAAATACGGATTAGGATCAATGATTTATTTGTTGATTAATAAATGATTTTTGAAATCTTAATACATATGTAAATTATGTGTCACGTTTGTTTGTCCGCAATGGAGTCCTAAACTACTGAACCGATTTTAATCAAATTTTACACATTGTGTGCAGTTTCATTCAATTTAAAAGATACAATAGTTTATATCTCAATTTATAATCGAATTATTTGTTTATTAATTAATTAGAGTCATGATTTGTCTCTGTTGTTAGTTCGATAAGATTTAGATACCAGATAACAATGTTAATCTAATTAAAGCTACGATTATGTAATAGGTTATGTGTCGTAAAAGAAAATATGAAAGAAACTGTAATAAAATTGAACTAAATTGTTAATAAAAATTATTAAACATTTTGGAATAATAATAATAAAAAGAAAAAAAAAACGAATAAAATTACTCAATTTCTTTGACATAAAAATATCGGAAAAATTCAGTTATGACCAACACACAGTTTGAAGATAAAAAATTATGTGTCGTAAACGAAAATATGGAAGGAACTGTAATAAAATTGAACTAAATTGTTAATAAAAATTATTAAACATTTGGGAATAATAATAAAAAAAATAAAATAAAATTACTCAATTTCTTTGACATAAAAATATCTGAAAAAAATTCATTTATGACCAACAAAGTGTTTGAAGAAAAAAAAATTAGGAAAACTAGAAACTACAACGAACTGAAATTGCGAAAGAAAATAATAAAAAAAAAAAATAAAACAAAAGAAAATGGAAAAATGGTCAAACTGAAAGTACTTTAGTTGTCCAAAGTATTTTTTTTTGTTTTTTCGTTTGTTCCATTTCTAGTTTTTTTTTTTTTTTTTTAAATACTTCGTCGAATGCGAACGAACCAACTGAAACCCTCTGTCCGCCTGAGGCCCCTATCAAGAATGGACGAAGTGAAAATACAGTTGTCCAAAAAGGGATAGGGATAAAGATAGGGATTAGGGAAGGAGGTAGGGATGGGTTGTGATGAGATGAGGTGAGGGGATGAAGGAAGTGCCGACGAAAGTTCTTTCCTTCGCGAAAAGTGACTAAACTGGGGGAATATGTGCCAGTTGGATAAACGCCAGATGTAGAACGGAAATTGTATCAAAAGTTATCCAACGACGACGACGACGACAGACTTATCCACCATCTTTTTATCTTTTTTTATTTTTTTTTTATCTTACTATCATAAATTTATTTTACTTTCTTCCCTTATTTTTCCCCCTTCTTCTTCTTCTTCTTCTTGTTTTAAACTGAAAGATCAAATTTGTTAAAAAAAAAGTAATTTTGTCAATGTTTCTACGTGATACAATTTTTTTATACACTTTTACTATGACCTTGATCAAAATTATTATTAATTTTTATATATAATTAAACAAACGCGTGTGTGTGTGTTTTTGTTTTTCTAGGTGATGGAGGGGGCGTCGGAGGGGATGGTGATCCCATCGTGGGTGGTGGAAATTCTGAGAAAAAATCGGGCTACGAGACAAATCTCTACCTGTACAACGTAAGTCATTGAAACAATTGTTTTTTTTTTTTTTATTTACTAATCAATTTTCATTCTTTTGATATTTTAATCTGAGAAACATCTTTTAAGATAAACAAATAATAATAATAATAATAATAGGAATTAAAAATAGAAATATTTTATTATTTCTTCTCGAGAGTAGTTTTTATATTTTTTGCATTGATTATTTCTAACCTAAAAAAATTAATTTGCATTCTTTTTGAATATAATTAGATCTAATTTACTATGAAAATTTTATTCAGAATAATATTATTAAATATCAATAAAAATTCTGAATAATGATTAACCTAATAAAAAAAAAAAAAAAAGATCGATACATAAATATATATATAATTATTATTAATAAATTCAAGAAATATAAATATTAATATTTGTTTTTCATATTTCATTTAATTACAAAATTGATATTATTATATATAATTATATATTAAAACAGCTGTTAGCATAACAGTTGCTAGTCTCGTGGAAGGAAAACTAGTTTGTAGTGGTCCCCAGGGTGGGTGGGTCCCAGTCACCACGACACACCTTGTCCTCAGGTTGCGGATAGTGGAAGGGCCCCTTTGTTTTGCATAGGGATGGAGATTACCTGCAAATAAATTGAATAAGCAGTCGCGGACAGTCGATTTGGAATTGGCCCTCATGTTTGGGGGTTGGACGTAGGTCTGATTACTTCACATCGTAAAACGACTTTATCAAGCATTAATAAATACTCCCATGGATTCTACTAGGTGTGTTAGCATAACAGTTGCTAGTCTCGTGGAAGGAAAACTAGTTTGTAGTGGTCCTCAGGGTGGGTGGGTCCCAGTCACCACGACACACCTTGTCCCCAGGTTGCGGATAGTGGAAGGGCCTCTTAGTTTTGCATAGGGACAGAGTTTAGTTGCGAATAAATTGAATAAGCATTGGCCCTCATGTTTGGGGGTTGGTCGTAGGTCTGATTACTTCACACCGTAAAACGACTTTATCACGAAACAATGAAAACCACCATGGATTCCAATGACGGGATTTGGTATTTGTGGCAATGAACTTTCGAGTTCCTTAATTCCAATTAATAATAATAATAATAATAATAATAATAATAATAATAATAATATATTGAAACCACATTAAACTGTTAATTAGATTTAAATTAATACGAGTGGTTAATAAGAGTTACTCTAATTAATGATTAGTATTTCAAAACTAAATAAAAAAGAAAAAAATGGAGATATAAATAGAAAAATGTAAGAATTATAATGAGCATAAATCTTTCATCTATATACACGTGTACAAAAATTTCCAAATTATTTGAAACTTTTGATTGAAAATGAACTTCACGAGAGATGAATTAGTGAAAAGAACTTAACAACTTGTAAAATAAAAGAACAGAAAGACAACAACAACAAAAAATGGGTTCAGTCTTTGGAACGTGCTTGGTTCCTGGTTGTTAATTAATAGAATATATTATCCTAGACTTTTTTTTATTCATTCTTTTTCTGTTCTTGTTCTTGTTCTTTTTTTACATCGTCTAAAGTCGGCCTGAATTCGACCTCGATTTGTAGATATCCAATTATTCGCTTTACTTCTTTTCCGATTAACGTGATAAAAAGAAACGAAAGAAGAGAAATAAAGGTGAAGAAGGAGGTAGATGAGAAAGTGATGGAGAAGGAGGAGGAGGAGGAGGAGGAGAGTGAAGAAGAAGAAGAAGGGGTAGGGGACGATCAAGATGTCGATAAGATCGACGACTTTGACTTTTTCTTCGACACCCAAGGGAGTTTTATTGCTAAGCTTTATTTATTTTCTTCTTCTTCTTCTTCTTGTTCTACTTGTATTACTTGTTTCTTTTTAATCTATTTTGTTTTTTCTTTTTAAAATCTTTCTTTTTCCCTTACTTTCCACGAGCAACAACAACAACAGCAATGTCTGTCGTTTCAAAAACAGGAACTCATTTATAAGTAAAATAATTTTATAAATAAAACCACGAGTTTTACAGTTTGCTACAATTAAAAAAAAAAGAAAAAAAAAAGAGAACATTTTTGTTAATTATTATATTTATTATAATTAATTATATTTGTTAAATATTAAATTATTATATTTAAATAATAAATATTATTTGTGTAATTATAAAATTATAAAATATTATAAAAATTATTATATTTATAATGAATACATTAAATAATTATTAAATAGTATATTAAATATTATAGAACATTTTTATTAATATTATTATATATACATATATAATATTAAATAAAATAAATTTATTGTATATGTGTGTGTGTGTTCATTCGATTATACGTTTAATTTAACAAGCAAGTATATGTATATATATATATATATTATTACATTTATATTTAGAAAATAATATATGTGGGTTAGGGAAGTCATTAAGACGACCCTTCGAGTACCTTCTGTCAGAGATTGACGTCACTGAAAGTAACTGAAATGTTCGCTACGTTCGTGAAAAATCTTCTTCGCCTTGACTTTAATTTTTGCAAACGTTCGCTTCAATGCCGCTGATCGAACCCTTCTTTCCCTTTCTCCTCTTCTTCTTCGTTTGTTTCGCGTAAATAAGGTCGACCACTTCTTTTTCTTTTTTTTTTTTTTTGCAAAGTACAACATTATTTTGTAGACACCCCCCCTCTACATTGCTATCCCTAACAAGAGGTCTCACATATTCTCCTTTTTTTTTTAAATAGAAAAATAATTTATCATCTAAAAAATTAATTGTTTCGTATTAGGTGGTTCAGATGAAGACAATGAAGACAATGTTTGCTTCGAGATTAAACCTAAACCTTTGAAAAGATCATAAATAAGTGAATTTGATCAATTTAACCTCTCATCGATCTCATGTGTTACTATTTGTTAGTTTGCATCAATTAATGCCATTATATTGTGTCAGCATAAAACGAAACGACTTTTGCGAACCATCTAATATTATTTAATAAATGTGTATTATTTTTATTAAAAAAAAAAAAAAGAAATGTGTTAGGGTTAACAAACGACAATACGAGAAAATGAAGCAATTATTTATACGTGGGTGGGAGACTTTAATGCTGGAATAAGAAACGAATGCAAAACTATTTTCGTTGAAGTAACTGAAACGACAAAATGAAATTTGAAAACAACAATTTCAATAAACTCGTTCAACAAAATAATAAATAAAGATCAATTGTCTTCTATAATCTACACAATAATATATTTTTCTTTGAAATAAAATATCAACGATATAAAAAAAAAAACAAATAGAAAAAAGATAGATTCGTTAATCGGTGAGATTGTTAAAAAAAAAAAATGTTGAAGAGTTGACAAATAATCGCGATAAAAATGTAACTACAAAAACTTATTCTTCTTCTATTTTTCAACTATTTTCTTCTCTCTCTTTTTTGTTAATTCTCTTATTTATCTCTAATCCCTCTCTCGCGTGTCATGTCTTTCTAATTTCTTTAGACGAGCTTATCCGGCGGCTGGCTAGCTGGCTGGCTGGTTGGCTGGTTGGCTGGCTCATGATCCGTGATCCGTGTAGAAATGTGTCTGTGTTTTCCTACCTCGTGGCCAAACCGATTTCAACGAGATACTTCTAAAGGGTTTCCTCTTTTACCACCCACCGAAACTCCCCTTTCCTTCTCACCCCCTTTTCCTAGCTTATCGTAGGCAAAACTACTTCTCTACTAAAACACGTGTGCTACCTGGGGTGGTGGTGTATATACATGCTGTTAGTTACGATCAAATTTACGAGTGCGATAATAATCCTTTGGAAGACGAGACAAGTTAGAAAGAGGGGGTGAGAAAAGGGATGGGACAGGTAGAAGGGTTTTAAAAGATAACAGATACGGAATGATTGAAGGTAACAACAAAAATCATTCTCAATTTATTTTGATAAATATATATATATATATATATATATAATAGTATATTTAAATTATTAAAATGCAATAATTCAATTTTCAGTAGATTTAAATCACCTATCGCGACNTATATATATATATATATATGTGAACTAGGAATGCTCCGGCATGCGTTGCTGTGGTTCTCACAATCAGTCCGATACACACGCATAATAAATAATTCGATTATAAATTGAGATATAAACTATCCTATCTTTCAAGTTGAATGAAACTGCACAGAAGATGCAAAATTTGATTAAAATCAATTCAGTAGTTTAAAAGTCCATTACGGACAAACAACGTGACACGTATATATGAAGATAATACGAGGGTCTGTAAATGTTGCCGTTTCTGGTGCGAAGTCGCCCAAAGTTGCTGTTACCCAGCGTCGAAAGTCGTGCAGAGTGTAAAGGGTTAAGATTCTTTGAAAAATGATATCGTGTTTTTTATTCTTTATTTTCAATGATAAATAATAAAAAAAAAAAGAAATACGATTTTTATTAATTATTATTTGATAATAATTATTGATTTTTGATATTTTTGATATTTTCAAAGTAAAACGTATTAAAGTGTTCTGTTTAACGTGTTCTAACGTATGAGTAATTGAGAACCCTTTGGATGGGCATGCATATATGATACCTATATAATACATACATATATATATATATATATATATATATAAGGGCCAGGTTTTATTAGGTGGTACATCGTGCATAAACGTTTCTTATTCTATCCCTTGATGTCATTATATACATAATGAAAGCTTTCAAAGTAACCAAACGAGGGTTAAGTGGTCTGCTCGAGAGACTACTACCAACACATTTATATATATACGTCCATCTTTTGCCCATATGTGTCCATTTTCCTTTTGACCTATCATCGAACGAGAACAACGATCGTTATTCGATAATTATTAAACCCTTTTTTTAACTTAAAGAATACAACATTTTATTTAATAATAAAACATTTTTTTTTTTTTAATTAAAATTTCATTCCAAGTATTCGAATCCTTTTTTACTTTTTTTTTTTTTTTAAATAACAAATAAAATAATATGCAAATAATTATAAATAAAATAAAATAAAATAAAATAAATTGAATAACAAAAAAAAAAAAGAAGAAAAAAATTAGAATAAAATTCTTCACGCGTATTTTACACATCACCCCCCGCCTGCCCCCCTCTCTGTGTTGTTATCACATATTAGATAAAAATGACAATCGAGTTTAACCGGCCAAATTTCTTTGTCAATAAATTTCATTCCCATTGAAAATCGTTAAAATCATTTCGTCGCGTTCACTGAAAAGGAGAGGAAGAGGAGAGGGGTTGCTGTTGCTCGTCGCAGCGTGAACTCCCCTGTCGATCTGATTTACCTCAACGAGCATTTTCCGGTTGATGCACACCCACACCAAAATCCGAGAGTATCTTAAATGATATACTACTTTTTATTTATTTATTTTATGTGAAAAAGATAATAGATAAAATTTAACTAGAAAATGTTCATCAAAGTTTATCAACGTAAACACCTAATGGCAATCACCTTTTTTTTTTTTTAATTTGTTCAAAACGTTCGGGGTTGCAATTTCATATGGGATGATTATGAAGTGGAATTTTTGATATACTTTAATTGAAATAATTAGAAAAATATTGTAAATAATTGATGGTATATTTGTATATCGAATTTTTAATTTTATTTGGGATTGCAACTGCATATGGGGTAATTGTCAAGTGACAAAGTTGAACAAACCCTGATTTAAATAATTAGAAAAATATTGTAAAAAATTAGTGTATTGAATGTTTAATTCCACATAGGGTTGCAATTCCATATGGGTTAGGTAGTTGCTAAGTGAAGAAAAGTTGAACAAACCCTGATTGAAATTATTACAAAAATATTATACAAAATTAGTGTTATATTTATATATTAAATTTGTAATTCCATATAGTTGCAATTGCAACTCCTTATGGGATATTTGCTAAGTAAAAAAAAATGAAAAAAACTCTGATTTAATTTTCTTTTTTCTTTGTCTATGACAAGAGATCAATTTTCAACAGTTCAAATAAATGTTAAATTGACGAATTTCATTTTGATTTGATTTAACAGGAAGAGATGGAAGATCGACCCCGGATATCGACATTACTCAGCAGTTTGGCAAATTACAGCAATACAATTCCAGCTGCGACCGATCCTGACAGCAAACCAGCGCCAGCTGCAGGTGGCGGGGCTCGTATGGGCACCCTAATAGGCGTATTTCTTCCCTGTATACAAAATATATTTGGTGTTATTCTTTTTATTCGTTTGACGTGGGTCGTCGGTACTGCCGGTGCTATTCAATGTTTTTTCATCGTTTTATGCTGCTGTTGTGTCGTAAGTTCATCAACTTAATAATTATTATTAAGTAATTATTATTATTTCAAATAATCAAACAAAATTTCTATCATGTATTAACATTTTTAACAATTTTCGATTTTATCTCAATTGGATTGGCAACAAAAAATTATTGCTGATTTTAAAAAGCCAATAACTTAGTTGCTCTAATCCAATTAATTTATGATTAAATTTCATACAAGAAAAATATATATATATATATATACACACACACATTAACTGTATATTAATAGAAATTACGTTAACAATTTTAGACAATGTTAACTGCAATTAGTATGAGTGCAATTGCAACAAACGGTGTTGTACCAGCCGGTGGGTCATACTTCATGATATCAAGAAGTTTAGGTCCGGAATTTGGTGGTGCCGTTGGTATGTTGTTTTACACCGGTACCACTTTAGCAGCAGCCATGTATATTATCGGTGCTGTTGAAATAGTTTTGGTAAATATCATCAATTACCCATAAATATTATCGTATCATCAAATAATTATAAACAATTCTCATGATTTATGTGTTTCCAACAAAATGTAGACTTACATGGCACCGAAACTCAGCATATTCGGTGACTTTACTCAAGACCCGAGTATAATGTACAATAATTTTCGAGTTTATGGTACCGGCTTGCTATTGGTTATGGGCACGATAGTATTCATTGGTGTTAAATTCGTGAACAAATTTGCCACGGTTGCCTTGGCTTGTGTTATATTATCGATCATAGCTGTCTACGTTGGATTATTCGTGAACTTCAACGGAAATGAATTATTGAAGTTTGTATTATAAAATATTTCAATATTAAATTATAACACAATATATTGAATTGATTTGACAATGTGAATTATATATTTTGTCATTTAGAATGTGCGTACTTGGGAAAAGATTATTGAAAGATCTCGATGTAATGAACGAATGTAACAAAAATCCAGGTGGACATCTTCACAACGTTTATTGCCATAACGTAACTAACACTACCATAACCATATGTGACCCATATTATTTACAGAATAACGTTACCATCATAAACGGTATTCGTGGTTTAGCAAGTGGCGTATTTTTAGGTAAGTTCAATCAAATATATATTTAATAAAAACGTGAATGGGGGGGGAACAATGAAAATAACAACATTGGATTTCCATCGAATAGAAAACATATGGGATAGTTTCCAAGAAGATGGTCAATTGATAGCTTATGGTAACAATCCTAAAGATATGGACAATATGGCTGGCAACAGTTACAATCAGATAACGGTTGATTTGACAACGTCATTTACCATTCTCATTGGAATATTCTTCCCATCAGTGACAGGTAAGAATAATTTAGTGTTGATCATGAAAATAATCAAAACTAATTTCGATTTACATTATCCAAGGTATTATGGCTGGATCAAACAGATCTGGTGATCTCGCGGACGCACAAAAATCAATTCCAATTGGTACAATTTGTGCCATATTGACGACCTCGACAGTATACTTGTCAAACGTACTATTGTTCGCTGGTACTGTGGACAATCTATTGTTGAGGGATAAATTTGGTCAAAGTATAGGTGGTAAATTGGTAGTGGCTAACATAGCATGGCCAAATCAATGGGTGATACTTATCGGTTCGTTCCTTTCAACATTGGGTGCTGGATTACAATCATTGACTGGTGCACCAAGATTATTACAAGCTATTGCAAAGGACAGTATAATACCATTCCTAACACCATTCGCAGTTAGCTCGAGTCGCGGTGAACCGACGCGAGCATTAGTATTGACAGTATTAATATGTCAATGTGGTATTTTATTGGGAAACGTTGATTACTTGGCACCACTGCTTTCAATGTTTTTCTTAATGTGTTACGGTTTTGTTAACTTGGCTTGTGCATTGCAAACCCTTCTGAGAACACCCAATTGGAGACCACGTTTCAAATATTATCATTGGAGTTTATCATTCCTCGGATTGGCCCTGTGCATAGCAATCATGTTCATGACCAGTTGGTATTACGCTTTACTTGCCATGGGGATGGCAGGTTGCATTTACAAATATATCGAGTATCGTGGTGCAGAAAAGGAATGGGGTGATGGTATTCGTGGTCTTGCATTATCAGCAGCAAGATATTCACTTCTGAGATTGGAAGAAGGACCACCCCATACGAAAAATTGGCGACCACAGATCTTGATACTGGCCAAATTGACCGACGATCTTGCGCCAAAGTATAGAAAATTGTTTGCATTTGCTAGTCAATTAAAGGCAGGAAAGGGTTTGACGATTTGTGTCAGTTGCATAGCTGGTGATTATATTCAAAATTCTGGTGAAGTATTGGCAGCTAAAAAAAGCTTACGTGACACGGCTAACGAGGAAAAAGTCAAAGGATTCGTCGATGTTTTAGTAGCTGGTAACATTGTTGATGGTTTGAGTTCACTCGTACAAACGACTGGTTTAGGTGGAATGAAACCTAACACAGTTATCCTTGGTTGGCCATATGGTTGGAAAAAATCTGAGGATAAAAGAAGTTGGAGAGTGTTCTTACAAACTGTCAGAACTGTTACTGCAGCTAGAATGGCATTATTGGTACCCAAAGGTATCAACTTTTTCCCTGATTCTACGGAAAAGGTTGTTGGTAATATCGACATTTGGTGGATAGTTCATGACGGTGGTCTTCTCATGTTATTGCCGTTCCTATTGAAACAACATCGTACATGGAAAAATTGTAAAATGAGGATCTTCACTGTTGCACAAATGGAAGACAATTCTATACAGATGAAGAAAGATTTGAAAAAGTTCCTTTACGATCTTAGAATCGAAGCAGAAGTTGAAATAGTCGAAATGGTAATTATTTAACGTTTAATTAACAATTTAATTTTAATATAATTTGTTAAGATTAATCGATGGAAATTTGATCACTGTGACCATCGATGTTTTGATACATCCACAATTCAAACTAATTTTGTTATCTTTTATCATATGCAATTGGTAAATTGGGTTTCTGTTTGCAGATGAATTCTGACATTTCCGAATATACTTACGAAAGAACCCTGTTGATGGAACAAAGGAACCAAGTGTTGAGAGAGTTGCAGTTGAACACAAAGGAGTCACGAGGAGTGGTGAGTTTCCGTTTAGAATTACAAAAATCTGCCTCGCGAACATCTAAAAATCCAATTGTTTGTTTCTTTTTTTTTGTTTTTTGTTTTATTATTATTATTATTATTCGTCTTTGTAATTGTGTCTCTCGTTATTGTTTTCGTTTTTGAGAACATAGACAAAAAAAAAATCAAAAACAAGTAATGTATGATAAAAAAAAAAAAAAGATCGTGATAACTGATGGGAATGTGTCTCTTTGTTGTGTGCTCGTCAAGGATAAGGTGCAGCCTTTGGTGGACTTCAACGAGGTATCCGGCGAGGAAAAATTACCTCTGGTTTGTCAGATCATCCCCCAACAATTCCGTGTCTATCCAAAATGTTTGACATCCAAAAAAACACCAAGATGTCGACGTTATCCTATGTTCCATTGTTTTATTCATAACCTAGAAATAACAATTTTTCCCACTTTCCACCTCACACGACAAATTTTCACAATTTTCCTCATTTCTAAGTTGTACAAAATAATTTCTTCTGTTGGATGAAAACTGATAGAGAGGGGGTAGAATAAATAGAAAATTTTCTATCATGGAATTCTATATTATATATGGTGTAATAATTGTTACGGTTTTGTAATAGCAACAAATAATTGTAGTTTCGAAAATTTATATAGATATATGTCTATTTTATATTAAATAATGAATTAATTTATATTTATATCAAATTAAATCTAGGGTTAATTCACAAATCCAATTTTAGGTTATCTCTCCATCTTTAGTTGTAATTATTTCATTTATTTTTGTACGGTTTTACAAAAAAAAAAAAATTGAATTTTAATATACACCTCTATCTTTATTGTAACTATTGTAATTGTTATTTATTTATTATTGTACGGTTTTTATTAAAAAATATTAAATACCTCTCTATCAGGAAACATCTGTTAACCAACCACCCCCTATTCCTTGATATAGAAATCTGACCTTACCGTTTCAGCTTGATTTGGCACGTTCATTTCGAATGCTTAAATAGAAATTCCTAATAATATTTGGCAGACCATATTAGTGCTTTATTGCAAAAAACAACCCCCCCCCCAAAAAAAAAACTTAGATTATTAGTTTTAATCCTACGGCATAATAATAAATAAACATTTGACTTTGTATCCGCTGTTCATATATATATATACATATATATGAGTAACATTTGAATATTATTAATTAATATATATTTTTGTTTAATAATTCTACACCAGGTACAAGCAATCGTTGATCATCATCACAACGTTGACGTTAAAGTACCATCCAAAGTAAGATTTCAAGAACCCGGTAGTCAAAATGCCAACGAAACGGACGAACCGCAACAAGAAAATCTTGTCAGAGATTCTGAACAAAAGGATTCCGATGATGTTGGTAATAATGAAAAATTGGACGAAGAAAGTAAAGAAAATCCTGACGAAGCAACTAAATTAATTGGTGGCTCACCCAAAACGGAAAACAAGGAAAATGCTCAGAAAGAAGCTAAGGAAAATGAACAGGAAAACAAAATGGAGAATCCTTGTTCTAAAGTGCCACCTACGCTGATACCGTACGTTATATTTATTATCATTTTATATTATATTAATATTTGATTGTTTTAATTTTTGACAACATTAAACTCGAATAGTGGGATCTCTGGCAAGGGGCGTGGCGTAACAATTCGACCTATCTATTCTAATTTTGAATTTAGCCACCAGATAGCGTATTCAAGTGCTAAATATACCACATGGCGTAGCAATTCGACCTATCTATTCTAATTTTGAATTTAGCCACCAGATAGCGTATTTAAGTGCTAGAAATTCCACGTGGCGTAGCAATTTGATCTATCTACTCTAATTTTGAATCTAGCCACCAGATAGCGTATTCAATTGCTAGAAATGCCAATATTTTATTAAATATATTTAATTTAAATATATTATAATAATATATTAAAAGAATATTTAATAAAATATATTCGAGAGAGAGAGAGAGAGTATAATATTTTATATTGACATTTAAAAATAATTATTCTCTAATAAATTCTGATCATATTAATAATCATTTGTTATATACACACCAAGGATAAATAAAAACTTAATCACTGATACTGAGTATCTTATTTTGCTTTAGTGACGAAAGTGACGTGAGACGTATGCATACGTCTGTGAAATTGAATGAAGTAATCGTTAACAAGAGCCATGACGCTCAGTTGGTAATACTTAATCTACCCGGTCCACCACGAGATACGAGAATGGAACGTGAATCAAGCTGTATCCTTTTACATTATTTATATTATTATCATCATCACAATATTAATTATTTATATTATAACAGAATATTCATTATTTCCTTAACTATATTTAAAAAAAAACAAAAAAATAACAGATATGGAATTTTTAGAAGTACTGACTGAAAGTTTGGAAAGGGTGTTAATGGTACGGGGTAGCGGACGTGAGGTGATCACCATCTTTTCGTGAATCAATCTAACGCACCTACAAATCGCCTTGACGAATGAAATATCTAGTTTATTTCTTAAAGACCTAAACGACAAACAAACAAAGAAGAAGAAGAAGAAGAAGAAGAAACAAAATCTAACAAAACAAACAAAGAAGATGACGACTCTTCAAATTTTAAGGAACATATTATTCTTGTGCCATTATTTCTCTAATCGCGCGGATAATGTATTACACACACACTAACTCGTAAATACAACATACATACACACATACACACACGTATATATATATATATGTATATTTTATCCGCGTGAAACATTTGTTGTGAATTTGCAACGAGTGTTTGCAATCAAATTACAAAATACAGTAACTATACAGCCATTATTTTAATAATACACAGACATAGTGATCTCTTTTTTTTTATGGGGGATTATTTCGAACAAAAATAAACGAATGAAAAAAATAGTTATAAATAAATTTAAAAAATATATATATATATATGTATAATATAACATATGGATCATCTCGAGTGATTTTGTGTATTATTTTTAATTTTTTTATTTGAAATTTGATTAATTTTGTTTCAATTATGACAAGGATCTTTTAAAGGATCGTCCCTAAATATTAAATATATATATATATATATATATATATATATGTATTATAATTAGTTTACTATATTATAATAATACAATATATAATTAATATAATATAATATAATTATATATATATATATATATATATATATAAAATTAATCAAATTAATCAAATTTTTGACAAACAAATCACTTTTGACAACCCAATCGTGTTTTGTTTTAACGAAAGTATACCAAAGATGATGATTTATAAATTAAAATGGGAAACTATATAAGTTTGAGATAAAATATAAATGAAAGAAAATATAGAAAAAGATGAAAAAAAAAAGAGAAAAAAGATTAAAAGAATTACGTTTAATGACATCTCGAGATATTCCATATTACGTCAATCTCATATAAACTAAACACACATAACACACACTCACACACACATTGTTTTTACTGTCCTCTGACATTATATAAGAGTTTCAACATTCTGACGAAGATCTCAATTCTCAAATTGTTCATAAATATCTATTATTATTATTATTATTATTATTATTATTATTATTATCATTATTATTATTATTATTATCATTATTATTATTATTATTATTATTATTATTATTATTATATTTATGAACGATCGATAACCAAACTAAAAAAAAAAAAACAAAGCAAAAAC